GTATGTACATGATTCTGGAGGGGGTACCTGAAAGGAGTTTTGTTTGTATGAAGTGCCGCCTGATAGAGCTGATGGAAGACAAGATCCAAGGACTGGAGATACAGGTGGAAACTTTGGTCGAGTTTAGAAGGAGGTTTGAGCAGATGATGGGGCAAAGGCATGACGTGGCTGAAGGGGAAAGCTTAGATATGCAGATGGATGTAGGATCAAGGGCCTCAGAGGGGGGACTGCTGGGCGAAGAAAATGGACAGTGGAAGCATGTGACTCAGAGAACCAGGCAGAGGAAAAGATGGGTCAGTGAAGGAAAAATAGAGCTCAAGAACAGGTATGTGGAGCTGGAGAATGAAGAAGGGGTACAGCAGGTAGATAATGAAGATGGAAGTGTAAGGAAGAAGAGAAGAGTGTCTAGTCCAGGGGTGTCCAAACTTTTTTCAAAGAGGGCCAGATTTGATGAAGTGAACATGCATGAGGGCCGACCATTTTGCCTGACATTCTTTGAACCATTAAAATTAAATGCAAATTAACTATTTTGCCTAGTTCAGGGGTGTCCAAACTTTTTTCAAAGAGGGCCAGATTTGATGAAGTGAACATGCGTGAGGGCCGACCATTTTGCCTGACATTCTTTGAACCATTAAAATTAAATGCAAATTAACTATTTTATGCAAAGTTTATTGCAAACGGCATACTTTTCATTTCGTCACATGGATGACAAATCTAAACAGGTGTTAAATCACTCTGCCTTTCATATCTGAAGGCCAGATGAAAAAAAAATCCAGGAAGCTGAAATATATGTCAGGAACATTGTAAAGTACATTACATATTATTGGTAATAAAGGTTGTCTGTCAACTTTTAAGTTCAAAAAATATGAACAGGAACATAACACCAAGTATACATGTTGTGTCCAAATATATTTATAACTGATTTAGACCAACTGACATTAACTGAGATTTTACAATGTATTCATCTCAATACATATGGATTCGTTGGGGGCCATAAAAGATAGATATTGCCAAATTACCTGGGGGGCCGTATTAAACCGGAACACGGGCCGCAATTGGCCCCCGGGCTGGACTTTGGACATGCCTGGTCTAGTCCAATAGATAAAGGGGAAGAGTTAATGGAGACAACACCAATAATGAGCATTAGGAGGATACAGGATGGGTTAAAGAGGATTACAAGGGAAAATAGGAATAGCAAGGACTTGCAGCCAGAGTGACTGACCAAGATAATTTCCTTGCTACTTCAGGAACTATTGCAGATTTGTGAATCTGAGTCACTCTGCAGATGCTTTTTGTATATTTCCCCATGTTTCCATTATAAGTTTGTAAGGGTATGTCTACACTAGCCCCCTAGTTCGAACTAGGGAGGTTAATGTAGGCATTTTGAAGTTGCAAATGAAGCCCGGGATTTAACAGTTAACTCGAACTGAGGACTAGTTCAAGTTAACATTTGACTGCTGCGTGTAGCCGCGGGCAATTAGTTCAGACTAGGGGAATTTAAAAATGGCGCCCAGACGGGACGGTGCAAATAAAGCCTGGGATATTTAAATCCCAGGCTTCATCTACAACTTTGAATGCCTACATTAGCCTTCCTAGTTCGAACTAGGGGGCTAGTGTAGACATACCCTAAGGTAAAACTCAAAAGTGGCAAAACTTGTACCATATCTGATCAGTAGATAAGGGGCCTGAGTTTTCTGGAGCGCTAAATTGAAAAGGAGTGAGCCAGATCTTCACTTAGTGCAAATCCATTGATTTCAATGGTGCACCTATGACCCATTGTTTTCTATTAGTTTTTCTCTCCATTTAAATTTATTTTTAAAAAAGATGGAAAACCCAACTGGAGGCTTAAAAACATACCCGAATGATCCTTCAGTGCACTGATAGCATGCCAGCCTCAGAAAGCATTTTTTACCCAGAAGTCAGATTACACTTAAATTTAGCTTCAATTTTTTTCTCTCTAAATAGCTTGTAATTAGTTTTCAGAACAGATCCTGCTGCTTATATTAGAATTCACTAGTTGGAAGAAATAAACATGTGGTCTAGACTGGCATGATTTTGCGGAAATACTTTTAATGGAAAAGTTTTTCCATTAAAACTATTTCTGCAAAAGAGCATCTAGATTGGCACGGATGCCCAGTATAGACGCGCTTTTGCACAAGAAAGCTCCGATGGCCATTTTAGCCTTCGGGCTTTCTTACGCAAAAAATTAAGGTGCCTGTCTACACTGGCCCTCTTGCGTAAGTATTCTTGTGCAAGAAGGCTTATCCCTGAGTGGGAGCATCAAAGTATTTGCGCATGAAGCACTGAATTCTTACATTACAACGTCAGTACTCTTGCGCAAATTCAAGTGGCCAGTGTAGACAGCTGGCAAGTTTTTGTGCAGCAAAATCCTTCCAGTCTAGACGCACCCGTGGAGTTCTTTCCTCCCTTTCCACAGTCTGATCACCTGAGGTTCCTTATCCTACTTTGTCTGAAAAGTTGCCTTTTCTAGTAACATTGGCAGCAGCAAGCCTCTAAAGAGAAGTTTAATACAAAAATTCCCTTTCCTACTGATACACAAAAGAGGATGCAATACATATAGAAGAGATTTGTTTGATCCTTGACTGAGACCATGTCTAGACTGCAGGCTTCTTTCAGAAGAAGCTTTTCCAGAAGAGATCTTCTGGAAAACTTCTTCCAGAAGAGAGCGTCCACACTGCAAAAGTGCATTGAAAAAGCAATCTGCCTTTTTGAAAGATAGCATCCACACTGAATTGATTCTAACTCACATTTCAGCTGTGATTACTATGGATGGAGTGGCCACTCAGGCTGTGTCTAGACTACATGCCTCTGTCGGCAGAGGCATGTAGATTAGACACATAGGCAAAGGCAAATGAAGCCACGTTTTAAATGATCGTGGCTTCATTTACATTTACATGGCTGCCGCGCTGAGCCGACAAACAGCCGATCAGCTGTTTGTCAGTTCTGGGCACTAGTCTGGACGCTCCCCTGTTGAAATGAAAGCCTTTTATCGACATCCCCTGTAAACCTCATCCTACAAGGCATAAGGGGGATGTCGATAAAAGGCTTTCAGGTCAGCGCGGTGCGTCCAGACTAGCGCGCGGAGCCGAGCTGTTTGTCGGCTCAGCGCGGCACGGCTCAGCGCGGCAGCCATGTAAATGTAAATGAAGCCGCGATCATTTAAATCGCGGCTTCATTTGACTTTGCCAAACAAACAAATCTACATGGCTCCATCGATGGAGCCATGTAGTATAAACGTACCCTCAGGGACCTGTGCTTTTTCCTCTTTCCTCTTCTTTTGAAAGAACTCCCTCTTCCCCTTCCCTGTCTAACCCTCGTAGAATGAGCATTACCAATGTCAGAAAAATCCCTCTGTTCTTTCAATTTTCTTTCAGAAGAACACAATTGCAATGTGGATGTTCCTCAAGTTTTGTTGGAAAAGCAGCCGTTTTCCGAGAAAACTCTGTAGTGTAGACATACCCTCAGTGTGGATATAAATATTAGAGTAACTGCTGTAAGGCCAGAGTTTGCATTTGAAATCCTTCCTGCAAAAGAAGGTATTAAAGTTGCCTTCCATTCCAAAAATTGGCCTGGTTTGCTGCTTAGTGTTTTGATGAAATCTATGTATTGAATATTATCAGGTCTTGCATTCTGTCTAGAGAACTTCAAGCAGGTACTGTTAGTTAGACAGATACCTGAAGGAGTGACTAACCAAAATTCTAGATGCTCCTGACATAAGTTATGACAATAAAATTAGATCCCTGACAGAGCAAACTCTTTGTCTACATGCCCTGTCCCCATAGAACTG